TCATACACACCCATTACCAATTGTGTGTGTTTCTGTGTATAGTAATTTAAATGGAATAAAGGAATTTATTAAATGAATAAATTTATCAATTGCTAACAGTGGCATGGCTTATTTAAAATTTTAGATATGTTTGTAATGATATTACTAATTGGTAAACAAATGTGGTGTTTGGTGTGTCTATAGGAAGCTGAGGAGTTACTGTCAATGAGACATTGTGTTGGCCATGTAGGTAAACCTTTCATAGGATTACACCAATCACTGGAGCCATTTACAACACATTCCATCTTTAATACCTCAATGTTTTTATGTTGAAAATTTGTGCTGACGCAGTATTTAAATAAGCTGTTACAATTATCTTGTGAGACTCACCCTAAACACTAAACTCTCTCTCATCAGACAGGAAATTCTTCACACTCTCCAGCGCTGAGCTGTGGATGGGGTGGAGATGAAGATGTGAATATATATATACTGAGCTGATCTGAAGAGAAACATTTGAACAAAAGAAGAGATCCACTGAGACTTACTTCTCACTTCCTTCATTAATTCTCTCAGACAACACCGTCTTCATTCAGGAACTACAACCATGTAAGTAATGAACTCAAATATTGTTTTATGCTCTCGTGATCTGATTTTAGACATGATCTTTTCTAAAAACTGGCACATTTGAAAGATTTTGATCAGGTGATGCCCAGGAACGTCTTTAGCAGACTATTTTATATTTATAAGCTTTTCTCTGATTTTCTCTGTGCATTTATCTGTATTCGTCAAATAATAAGGGCAATAAAGGCAATAAATATATTCTGGCAGGATTAAGTGTTTTTGTTGCTAAAATTCAGTTGAGGGTTAAATAAGCTGAGGAGGAAGCCATGGAAACTTGTAAGGACCTGAGCCAAAGAACTTAACAAACCTCAACAACCTGCTTTCGAATGATTTATAATGTGTTTTGTTTATGATCAATCATTTATGATAAACTAATCATGTTTTCTTGTGAAAGGTCATTTAAAGCTGTTATACTGGAGTCTGAGAAATGGGCAGAGATGTGCAGCGTGGCGGGTGGCTCATTCGTTTGCGAGCATTGCTGTAGCAATCATCTCAATTCATGTCAAGAATCTGAGGATGTCACCACCAAAGTCACAAATGTTTCTACAGACTCGTGGACACATGTGGAGCCTGTGGTAAATTGTACGAGGTCTATGGAGTGTAATGCCTGATGTGAGATGATGTGTTTAAGCAAAACTCCTAAATAGGGGAATTGTGATGAATTGTGCAATAAGTGACTAAAGTTTCTAAGAAATTGACAGCCCTACTCTCATCAATAATCATTTTCTTTGCCGTTTCTCAGCTCTGCCAATGCAGGTCTGTTCTGTTGATCTCATCAAATCCAGGATGGGACAGAATCGACGGGAGCATCACACAGACCGTTATCTTAGCGATCACCTCGTCATCCGCAGGGGACAATGTTTTGAGATTTGGATTGAGCTGTCCCGACCCTTTGATTCAACCTGTGACCACCTTCACCTGGAGATGAGACTATGTCAGTTAAGGCCTTTTTCGTTAGATGCCATCTTGCTACCCAGACAGATGTGTTCTGATAACATAAAGAATCTGGCTAACAATATATTACATTTAGAAAGACAAAACAAGTCCAAAACGTCTTAGACCACCGGCAAAACTGCTTCTATTTTGCATTATTTTTAAATTGAATATAAGATTTTCTTTTTCATTACAAAACTATAGAATAACATAATGAGTTGCCAAAAATACAAATAGATTAATTGTGATTTCAGACTTTTCCATCCCACTGTAAAATAAATAAATACAAATTTCTTAAAGGGGCCCTATTATGCTCTTTTACAAAGTCTTGATTTT